CCTTGGAAGTAGGTCAAGGTAATTTCAATGAGGAAAATATATAACACTCCATCCCAGGTACCTACTGCCAAAATATCATGACCCTGAGCCTTATGGAAATTGAAAAGAAGATTGTGAAAGCCTTTGACTCATGTTGACCTTTGACCCCAACTTGCACTTAAAGTTGACCTTTGACATCATTACTGTAATTGAGAAAAAGATTTGCACTGATGGTCTACATAACATACCCAAGTATCATGACACTAGTCCAAATGGTTTTTAGGATATTGTTGTTTGAAGTTTTTAACATATTTAACCGCTGTGACCTTGAAAGTAGGTCAAGGTCATTTTAATGAGGAAACTTTATAGCACTCCATCCTAGGTACCTACTGGCCAAATATCATGACCCTGGGCCTTATGGAACTTGAGAAGAAGATTGTTAAAGCTTTTAACCAAAGTTGACATTTGACCCCCGACTACCATTTAAAGTTGACCTTTGACCCCATAACTGTGACTGAGAAAAATATTCGCACTGCTTGTCTACATAACATACCCAAGTATCATGACTCTAGTTCAAATGGTTCTTAGGATATTGTTGTTTGAATTTTTTCACATATTTGACCGCTGTGACCTTGAAAGTAGGTCAAGGTCATCTTAATGAGGAAACTTTATAGCATTCCATCACAGGTACCTACTGGCCAAATATCATGACCCTAGGTCCTACAGTTCTTCAGGAGAAGTCGTTCAAAAGAAAAAGTTGACGGATGGACGCCGGACGCCGCAGTACCTTCGGGCCAGGTGAGCTAATAAAACCAAACCAATCCTTAGTCCCCAAGGTTTGCTGTAACCTTGAAGGTCAGTTATCTTTTTGAGTTGTTGCACGGTTCAATTTATTTACACTTTCAAGATTATTGAATTTGAAATTTACAATTACTCCACTGGATTTGAAATTCATAACTAGGAGTTTTACGCACCTGCCCTCTGTTTCAACAGGAGTTTGGACATTTTGGATTTACAGCTTTGTGGCCCCTAGCGTCACTGGTGAGTCCTAGAAGGACAAACAGCTGTAGGATTCAGTCTAATTCATTTTTGGCCTACTGTATCTGCTACCATAAAGGTGTGGTCACATCTCTGTGTGTGTTACGTTTATCTACCAACACCACACAGGAAACGGGAATAGCACGTGTCTTTCCTTATATAGAATAATTCATCCATCTTGTAATTAGGGGATCAGCTTTGCAGAAAATAAGACGCGATTATGTGCAACAGTAAAACCACGGAAAAACACAGTTCCTTCAACAATGTGCTGTGAATTTAAATATGATATAAAGCCACTTGTTGGGTGAACTGCCCTTCTCACTGTGTACATGAGGAACACAACAGGTGTAAGACACACATGTACATTAACTGTTGTTGCAGATTGCACAGTAACTATTGTTCTATCAAAAACAGTCAGAAAACAGTGGTTTCATCATTTTATTCACTATACAGCAACAAATTCGAACTTAATATCACATAACTAATTATCTAATACTTTTGAGTAAAAAATACTTCAAGAATATTTTCTCGGAAATTGCTTCTTGTATGAAAACTCTATTCAAATTCTTTCATTAAATATGAAGTATATCAGATCATGATTTTATACACTAGATTTAGTTTATACTTTCATAAAATTGTATGTAAAACAAGAAAAAAACATTGAATTAACAGATTCATACAAAAAAATACTGCTTTAATACAAAAATATCAAACTTCTTCAACAAAGTGTATGTCAATGTCATGCACCGCATCAAAGACAGTATATGTCATGTAATTTTACAATAATAACAAAAACTTATACTGACAGCACAATGAGCCATTATGTTTCTGCATCGCTGACAGCAACTGTCACATAACTAATTAACTGATCTATTACTTACAGAAAATACCTGATTACATATAACTGTAAAGGTTATAACAGTGTTGTTGACAATTCCATGAGACTTACCTGTATTGCTGATAGTAAATGTCATACAAATAATCTATTACTAACGCAAAACGCTTTGTAATGCTCTTGACAGTAAAATTGCAAGCAGTGTGCATATTATTTATATCTGAAGTTTAATGTGTACGTTATTTATTTATTGTGCAAAAGTTTTCCTGACAGTAAATGTTTATTTAATCCATTTTTGGCGCAAATGTTTAACTGACAATAAATTGGCATGTGATTTCTGACGCAAATGTTTTCCTGACAATAAATGAACATTTTATATTTTTCTCTCGCAAATGTTTTCCTGACAATAAATGAGCATGTTATATTTTTCTGGCTCAAATGTGTTTCCTGACAATAAATGAACATATTAGATTTTTCTGGCTTTTCCTGACAATAAATGAACATGTTATATTTTTCTTGCCAATGTTTTAATGATTTGAAATGTACACGTTATCTATTTCTGGTGAAAATATTTTTCTGACAAAAAATGTACAGGCGCAAACCTTTTTTGACAATAACTGTAGGTGAAATTTATTTCTGGCAAAGTGGCAATACCATACACTTTTTACAGACAAAAAATGTTATGGAATATCTGATAGAATGTCACCTGGTGTATCAGTCAGTTATATTATTCACTACACATGAATAATTCTTTACTGTGACAATGACATACCATCTGTACATACGATTGGCATCCTTTAATCAACAATTCAATACATGTAAGAAGCATTACACATAACTTGGTATAGTAGAACTAATCTCAATTAATAAATAAGTCAATGTATATAATCCTAAGGTACAAAAGCAATATGGTGTAAAGATCTATTTCCACTAGAATGTTCCCATAAGTTGGATGTATCAGCATGAGAGCACTGATTACTGGTCATGATTTGGCAGTGAGATACTGAAAAGGTTAACGAGAACAAAGGGCCTGGGCCTAAACGGTCACCTGATGTTGGAGTTACTTAGAGTTCAGGACAGGGTTTTAAACCGGTTTGGCAATAAGGTTGATACTACATGGACTATCATAGTTATGCAACATCTTGTCCAGATTTATAACAAATCGTGAGGTTGTAGTGTTGAGCATCCTGTGAAAACAGGGAACTGTCAGCCTAGATATCAAAAGCCCTTTTTTGGAACCTCATAGGGCATATAGGTTTGGAGTCAAACAAAAAATCAGTTCCTGACAAGAATTTGAAAATGTCTCGGCAAATCAGAAGCCAGGGCAGCCATATCATATGGAATTTTGAATCAACCCAAAAGTAAGAAAACTTTGTTAGGACCTCATAAGGTCATTTTACCAAGTTTGGAGTCAACAGCTGTAGCAGTTCTTATGAAGAAGTTGTAAACGGTTAGCCAATCAGAGCTCAGGGCAGCCATATTGGATTTCTAATTAACCCAAAAATAACAAGAATTTGTCAGGTTGATATCTGTTACATTCCTACTAAGTATCAATGAAATCCCTTCACCAGTGCTTCAGATTAAGTTGAAAATGTAAAATGTTCATGGACGATGCAAGCCCATGACACATGACGACAGACGAAGACCGCTAGCATGTGACCTAAACAATCAATACAATGTTATAAACATATTTTGTATCAGACATACTTTCAAAATTGATTTCTACTTATTATACATGTATCTGTCACATAGACCATAAAGTAAATGTGGAAGGAAGAAATTTAATGAAACAAAACAAATCATAATTTATATAGGGCTAAAAGCTGAAAATAAATTAAACATGACTTTGATTTATATATTTCACAGAAACGATTGTAATGACATACGATCGTATGTACTGAAACATTTTGAGTATTTTTAGGATTTACAATCATTCATCAACGCTAACAAACTTGTAACATTTCTCAGACAAAGCCACAGTGTTTACCAACAAGCTTTAAGATAAACAAAGGTGTACTGGAGCACCAGTAATTAACATGATGATCCAGGTGGATAACTTAAACCCTGTCCCAGTCTCTTGATAGACACGGACAACCCTTGAATCTAATCTTTAAACAATAATAATTCTGGATGAGTCTATTGATGTGCCACTGTCTTCAAATACTACCAGGGATGTACATTGTATAGTATGTACAGTATACATTGTGACTTGGCTCTGAGGCTTTCTACACTCCGGTTACATGGATGGGTGGTTCATTGGAGCAACTTAGGGCATGGATTCATGAGAAGTATTTCAATGTATCTGTCATTTTTTGTATCAGAATGGTCCTTGCCTTTTCTACAGAGGGATTTTGAAATATTAAAAAAAAAATATTAGCAGGCAAACTGAAATTACAGAGGTATGCCTGATTCCAAACCCATAGCTACCTGAAACATTTCAGAAAAAGTTAAGAAAATTGGCCATTTTGTAAGAGTTTTTCCCTTCAGAATCAATTGAGTGCATGTTACAAATCTTTATAATTAATGTTTTCAAAACTGAACAAGAGTACCAAGGGGTTGAACAATATACGCCCGTCGAATACCATATAGTGTTATATACTTTCTTACATTGAAATAAGATCTGCATCATTCTAAGAGTGGTAAGCTGACATGCTATAAAAAATGTAGGAGAAAATCTCTGGACAAAAACTCAAATACTGAAATGAACAAAGAGCAATTACATGTACTTTTGCAAAAATCGTCAAATCAAAATTCTTTTAAGGGAGACACAACTTCATATCATGATTATAATGCATACCAAGTTTCAAAGAGATCTGTTGAAAAATGTAGGAGGAGATTGCCGGACAAAAATCAAATACTGAAATAAACAAAGGACAATAATTTTTGCAAAAATTGTTGAATCACCCATTTTTTCCCCCAGGAAACACAACATATCATGATTATTTAGCCTACTAAGTTTCAAACAAATTCATCAAAAAATGTAGGAGAAGATCTCCGGACAAAAAATCAAATACTGAAATGAACAAATGGCAATGAATTTTGGAAAAATTGTCGAATCAAAATTCTTTTAAGGGAGACATATCTTCATATCCTGATTATAATGTATACAAAGGTTCAAAGAGATCAGTCGAAAAATGTAGGAGGAGATTGCCAGACAAACAAAAGTTTATGCCGGCCAGACAGACGGAAAACCCCATACCAAAATACTTCCGTCAAATTTGACGGGCGTATAAAAACTACAGGGCAATAGCCTAGACAGAAAACATGTTGGTTTTATTAATCTTATAAAACTGCCAAACAAAAGTAAGCTCTTGGCCTGTCGTTAAATCTATAAATGTACCACCTTCTAATTCATGAAATTCTGACCAAAGACTTAATTTTTTTTATTCATGTGAGTTAACTTATGACATCTCAAACAGAGGTATAGCACCTTGGTATCTAGAATGGGGCTCTGATGATTGAATTTGAGACTACACTATACTAAAACGAATCCTACCTCTATATCTACCCAACATATTTTCTTTTTCTTTATATGTTTTATGAAATATTGCTGGTGACATCTGTGATCATCGGAGTCCACCAGTACATCACAGATTGATAAAGCATCGGAGTCCACCAGTACATGATCACAGATTGATAAAGCAACATTACAACAGGCCAAACCTACCAAACTTTTATTCAGGTTCCACCACGTCTACAAACACTTACTTTTTAGAATCTAATAACTTTACTTCATTCATTTTTTGACTTTAAATACTAGCACACACAGTAATGCATGGCTATATCAATTTTGGCCTTACAATGTGCATCTTTTTCTATCATTACAGAGCCTGATTTACACAAAATAGTAAACCTGTTTTAAAACAACACCTGTAATCAATTTTCACATTGGTTACTTTCTCTTAAACCATCAACAAAAAATGTATGAATTTGATGTGAATGATGACAAAATCCTAGTAAATGCAGAAACACATAATTACTTTTCAGTTTCAACAGATCCATGCTCCTCATAAGAATAATCAGATAAACATATAAAGCTAGATGTTGCTCTAGGCCCTAAACTTACTTGGGTGTATGACATATTCCACAGAACAGCCAGATTTACTTCTGTGCCTGGCTAAACCTGACTGCCATTTGTACGTTTTACCGCAAGAACATGTATGTAGTTTCTCAGTCTCACCATGTTTGCCTTCCACATGAACTTTCAAGTCCCTCTTGCGTTTGAACTCGGAGGGACACTGATCACACTTGTAAATCTCTATCTCTGTGTTCATACAAAACTTAGCATGCTGATGCAGACTGTTCCTCCAGGAGAATTTAGCATGACACTTCAAGCACTGGTAGCTCTTTCTCTGAGCGTGTGATGTCATGCAGTGGTCAAGATACAGCTGATATTTCTCGTATGACTTTCCACACCACTCACATCTGTAGCTAAGCTCAGACGACACTGGTCTGGATAGTGATTCCTGTCCGGGTTGGTGACAGTTGGATTCTGTTTGGAATGGGAGATTATGCAGAGTGCCATTTGATGTGAGTTTCTGTGGATCATGTCTGTGTGTTTGTGGTCCAGGATCCGATGCATGTTTGTTGAGCACAAGGTCCCTTGACACAAAAGTTTCCTCTCCGTGAGTTGTGCAATAATGATGTTGTAAGCTGTACTGATCTGCGAATAATGCATCACAAAATCTACAGCTTTGTTTCTTCCCACGATGAGATCTGGAGTGCTTTAACATGCTTTGCTTAATTCTTGTCTGGTACCCACATACCTTACACTGGTACATAACCCCTTCTGGTGTGTTCAAGGTCACCACCTGGTCAAGGTCATCATGTAGGTCACTTGTATCGTCTGGTATTAGAGGGGTGATTGTATTGCCAGGGTGAGAAGACTTTTCAGTAATACCATTGTATGGTGTGTGTGATGCAAGTGAGGTGTATCTTGGCGAACTGGCGTCATTTGGTGAAGCAGTTGATCGTTTGTCGATTTCCTTCTCTTCTTGCTAAGTCAAACAAAAATTGATGTTCTCTTTTCAAATAAAAGCTTGATATAAATAAATAAGTGGAGAGATATTTTTACCATACAGGAATTATCATAAATAAGCTTACAGTAATGTAATTAAACTGACATCCTAATCATATAAAACAATACTGAATTTGTAAGTTAAGATAAATCTATTTTTTTCTTCTGTCAAATTCAGGTGCAATACCAACCTTGATTTTGACCACAATCACAGACATATCAGAAGGAACAGCATCTGAAAAAAATAATAATAGCAGATATAGCATGTTTAAAGAAATATTCTGTCACTTTACACCATCTTTTCACTATGCTTTTATCTAATATTCTAAACCTGTTAATCTCAGATATCCTCACAGCCAACTAGCTAGTCTGAACCAAAATCGTTAAAATTGAATACTTGAAAAATTAAATCAATTCACTTTTACAAATGCATTTTAATGTTTTGCAGTTAAATAACAACCAACAGACTATAGCTGTCAACCCTCCCTCATTTTGACCAAAATTTACCAATCTCCCTCGAAACTCCCTCATTCAAGTCCAAATTCACACAAAACCTTTATCCTGTGGTCCAATGATCACCAAGTAACTACAGGGTGTGTGTAATGATCATAACAGGTGGGTCTGAATTTTTTATTAATTTTCTTTACTAATGCAAATATCAAATTATTCAGCCCTTTTGTGATATTGTATTGTTATTAATCAATGAACACAAAAAAAACCAGTAATAGCCCTTTTAACTTTCATTCCAAAAAGTATTGAAGTAGCATTTATAAATCTCCATCACAACAGAATCTATTAATATTACCTTGACCGGCCTCTTTCTTTGTCCCTATGTCTCTCTGCTCTTTCCCATCTTCTCCTGACCCTGAAACTGTAACCTTGGCCTCAGCAGGCTTCCCTTCCTTGTCAACTTTCATCACCATTACACCCACAGTCTTGGAAGAGTTATGTGCCCTTGGTGATGATGACTTGTCTACTTTGTTATTAAAATTAATGCTGTTTTCTGCATGATCATTGTCACTTGTTGCCTTTTCCTCCAAAATACTAGTGTAGAACTGGTGTTTCTCTGGAATGACGCAGGAAGCATAGTTTATATTGTGGTGCTGTACCAGTATGGACATGTGTGCGTGTGAATATTGTGTTGTATGCACCTGCTCAACTTTGACTCTAGATCTGGAAATTGTATATAACCACAGAGTAATGAAAAGATTGGGGACAAGCAAATTTGTGGAATTCATATCCTCCACATGCAGAACATGTTGTAGATATAGTATATTGTTGAGATTTACTTTAAATTGCAGGTAAACAGGCATCAATTACATCCTCAATCAATCTCAGCCCGAGACATGTCAACATGTATGTCTAAAACAAAATTTGTAAAAAATGTTACCCATTATTAGCGATGTTATTGCACCCAAACCAATCAGCCAATTAAATGTATAAGTATATAAAAATACATGCATATAACAAACTGATAATTGAACTCGGCCTCAAACAGAGTAAAAATTCAAAAGGTTTTCTTTTGCTTATGATTTGCGAATTTCAAATATATAATATCTCACTGCTTTATAGGCCTGTGCAACTGAGTTACTGACATGCACAGACTAACTTCTGTCCAGTTTCCTTAGAGGCCCATCAATAATGGTCTTACAAGCAAATGGGTAAATGGCTATAGTATGCCAAGGTAGATACAGAAATATAATTTTGTAGGATGGAAGGATAATGGTGAGTATCTCAGCTGTTGCAGATTAAGTTTCAGATAGAATTAAATCATTTCATTTGATCCTACAGTGGATGATACAGCAGATACAGGTCAATTTCACAATGAAAATGTTCAGTTAGTGCAGAAGAAATATTGTGATAAACAAAAGCACTTTGAAAAAGTCAATTTTGTAACAGTTCCTGAAAGATACACTTCAATCAATCTTGTATCTAGAAATAATGCAAATTAGCAACAGTCAGCACATTTAGTTTCAGGGAAAGCACATCTTGACCCCTCGACATGCATGTTTTGAATATTCTCAGCCTCGGTTTAGTTCTGAGCCTGTCGTTTCCTTTTTAATGTTGAAATATGTGAAAGGGACCTTGGTCTTTCCCCCAAGCCTAGCTAGCTATTTTTGTCAGAAGCTCTGACCATTACCAGGATTAAGATTCTTTCTTACCTGTATGTATCCTTGAGTGTGACCGCCATTCATTTTTACTCTGGTAAACTTTCTTACACACCTGGCACTTAAACAGTTTCTTGCGTGTGTGAGTTTTCACGTGGTTGGTCAGTGCACCAGTATTGTAAAACTTTTTCTCACAATAGCTACATTGGAAGTTCGTCAGGCCACTGTGAGCAGATTGAATGTGTGTGATCAGGTAGTTCTTATCTAAGAAGACTTTTTCACACTGCACACACGTGTGAGTTTCCATCCCACAATGCACTGCCATGTGTCGCTTCAGGTAAATAGACCGTGGGAAAGATTTGTCACATATCTCACACACATGTGGGCGGTCGCCCTGGTGGTTTGTCATGTGATTCCGATATGCCATACAGCTATGGATCTTCTGGCCACATATACTGCACGCAAACGCTTTCCTCTCATCTGTCAAAGAGAATGCTTAATTAGTATATTATGTTGGAAATATCATTTTATAGCAACAGAAAGCAAGCATGGCTTACAACACCTTGCCCTGATGGGTCCGTAGTTAAATTCTATTTTTAATAACAGTGACTCTGAAATTTGAGATCACAAACACGAAATGAAAACAATTTGCAATATTTATTTTGAAGTATGCCGGTGTTAAATATATTCTCAAAGTAGAAGGTAAATTTATTTAGATATCACCTCAGCAACATTCACAGAATGTTAATATTTAATGCTAGTATGGGTTCTGAGGCGAGTTTCCCTGGTCCTCTATCATACGTGCACCTTTCTGTACGATAATAGCCAGCAGGTAAGTGGTGAAACTTAATTTACTATCAATCAACAAAAGTAATGAAAATTAATTTGAAATTGTGAGGCATCAGGATAATCAACTGTAGTAAATTATACTGTGTGCTAATTTATTGTTTCATTTTGTATGCTCTGTACATTGTACAAAGAATCAATGTAAATGTATACTACACTGTGTATAAATACTCACATTAAACTAATTGAGGCAATGATGAAGATGGAGAATCTAAAGAGAGCAATTATTAATTTAATTAAACGTACCAGTGTAATGTATCCTCAGGTATTCCTGCCTAGCGAATTCTTCGCCGCACATGTCACAACTGTATGTCTGGTCACTGTGGCATGACATATGAAGGTGGAGGTCACTTTCCATCTGGACACATAACAAAATTCTCTTTTAATTCCTAAGCCAAAATATACCTCACTATCTGAGAGACATAGTAATATTCTCTCTTATTTCACAAGCTATGTGGTACACAACAATATCTTACTTCCTATGAAAATGTGTCTCTCTTTATCTGAGAAACAAGTAACAATATTTTTCTATTTCCAACACTTAACTTATAACTTTCCATCTGACAGACAACATTAATACATCTTAAATCTCATGAAAATGTATTTCTCTTTGAAATGAAACAATTATCTTTTTAATCATATCTATGGAAATAGATATCACTCTCAAGAAAATGAGATGCAGACAGATAAATATACTGAAAATTACAAAACACATCTGAATTAAACTACAAAAAAATTTCAAATTCAATAAACTGAAAATAATACAATGTAGATGCATGACACAGAAAAAGTATAGCAAGTCTATACAAAAGAACGAAGAACAAAACACCATCACAACTGTTACATAATCTACCGTATTACAAATGTCCCCCCACTGTATCTTAACAGTAGTCCATGGCTGCTAACGTTAGTGCAGGCAAGTTCGCCATGTAACCAAATTAACCATGTACCCAAATTCGCCATGTACCCAAATTCGCCAACCTGTGACGAAAATGCCATTTGACGACATAATACATAAGATGTGACGTAAATAACGTCACCATAGTCTTCAACACAGTTAAAGCCTTCAAAGAGGTAAAAGAGGGAGAAAAGTTGCACTTTTAATCAAAACAGTTATGAAATATCTTGTAACACAACGAATCTTAAAAATTTGGTCTGTGCGACAGACATCTCGTCAACTAAACTCATCAATCTGAGGCTAGTTGGTTGTTTTTCAGTGTGAATTTATTACATACACATGAAAATACCCATATCTTAACACTTATTGCAGTTAATGCAAGAACAATTTTTTCTACAAGTGTACTTTGGTACATGTACAATGTACTGACGATCCTATGTGTGTTTATGGAAATGACGATCGAAAATATCCACGATATGATAATTCGTCAGTTTCCAATTCATGCAATGTGTATTTAGAATACAATCAACCAGTATCTTTTTAAAAGTATTGTTTGCGTCTTACTTTCAACAATCTTACAACACTTAAATTAAAATACCAGCTAGAAATTTTCTAGATTTATGTCTGAATATCTGAAAGGAATTTGTTGTCGGCCTGAAAGTACTGCTGTACAATCGCATGCTGATTGTACGTAAAGACCGACAATTATCAAAAACTGTTTTTTACATGAAAAAGTAAGTACATTTACAACACCTGGCCGGGCAGTCTTTGTTGAATATAAGTTTTCAAACCCAAGAAAATAGTTATAATTTGTCAGATTTTTCCCGTTGACGTGCAAGACAATCGGAGACGTGCATGTGACAAATTATCCAAAGGTTGGGGGGGGGGGAACTCTCATCCGGACCCGATGAAAAATATAATATTGGAGGACAACGATTTGGAAGTTTATATTTGTTAAGGACTGAGTCTTTATTACGTATCATGTAAATTGGCATCATTTCAGCTGATACCAGCCATCTTTCTCAAACAACATTAATCAGCTTCTTCAAGTTACCGAAAACTAACTAGACTATCACAAAAGAAAATACGTGTATTTCAATGTTAATCATTGTTACACACACACATTTGGAGCTGTTCGTATCAGTATGGCTTGTGTAACATAAACATACAAAATTTTACATTTAAACACTTCGATTACTTGTAAATTAGTTAAATGTTTAAAGGTGGCGAAACTGCCTGCACCTTTGAGCAAAACCACGGAAAGGCCTGATGACGTCACAAATGCTGCTGCTGCAGTCAAATCTTCTGTACTGGTGCTCGCCTGCATTTTGATACATGCGTTTTTGGACGAATAATTAACCGAAACCCTCACTAATGTGATGAATTTGCCTGCACTAACGTTAACTTCCAAAAATATTCACACCATCATACCTTTATACTCCTTTCTGTTTCACAAACTCACATTCCCCAAATAGAACAAAAATTAAACTGTCTTGGACAATCAGAAGGTGCATTTGCCATCTTTTATGTTTGATTGTAAAAAAGAAAAGATTACAGCACCATCGATTTTTAAGTGAAATTTCATTGTAATCCATTACTTCATGTATGAATTTTTTTTTGATGAATTCATGGCAGAACCAGTCCTAAGTACCCTAAAACTTGTTTGGGGGACAAAAAGAGAGACTGAAAATCCAAGGCAAACTGAACAATGTTGGAAAGAAAATAATTTAATCCTTTTAAATCATACAAATATTGCTCACGCCATATCCTTGATACTCCAGGGGTTACGCTCATTTTCGCTCTCTACACCCCTGGAATATGTCATAGCAAAGTTAAAGGCTCAGTGTCACAACCTTGTGGATGAGACAAGAAGACCAGTTTGATCCTTTGATAAACATCAAAAGAACCAGTCGATCACGTAACAGTAAAATTGACTGGTTTTGAGATCTGGTGTCGCTCCTCTTTAATCTTCAAAGGACAGCTATTAGCCTTAGTGATTGTCATTTTGTTTTTACCGGAGACCAATCAAATAGCTAGCTGTGTGCCTTCAATTTTGCTATGACATGTTCCAGGGGTGAAGAGAGCAAAAGTGAGCATTACCCACTGAGTATCGAGGATGTTACCCCTCTATGCCTCAAACACAGCAAACATCCATCATGAAATTTTACCAATATATCCATATCAAAATATTAACAGGGCTTTAAAGAAAATGTCAGGCGGAGGTGTCAAGCTTTTCCTTTTTTCAGAAAATTAAAAGGTTTTCAAGTTTTTAATTGCAAAGTTGTATTGATTGTTTCTAAAAGAAACCTTTGAATTTTCCCCCAAAATAGGCACCCAGGCACCTTTGAAACCATGAAGAAATATCACTTCACCTTGAATGTGTTGCAGCAGACCTCACAAGAGAAGGGTCGGTCACCAATGTGATTTCTCATGTGGCGGGTACAGTTAGCTTGGCTGCTGAAGCTTTTCTCACACAGCTGACACTGGAAGGACTTGTGGGGCTTCAGGTCACACCGGGACTGCTTCAGTGGGGGAGCTGCCTCCTCTTCAGGCTCATCAGATGACTCAGCATTGATTGTAGAGGTATATGCTATTTTGAAGAAAAATTCCAATTTGTGTATTTTACTTCTAAACATATGCTTTAACTGTGCACAAGACCAAATAATATGAAACATATGCTTCAACTGTGAACAAGATTAGATAATGTACATATAAAAATTCTATCATCAAAGACTTAAATTATTTTATTCCATAGGAAATCAAACATCATTATATATTCATAATGTGTGTTACCCATGTTCACTATTAATTAAGGATAATTTTTGGATTAACAATACATTATATATATATACATGTATACACAGGTGTGTGTTAAGGTTTAACTCTATAAATAAGCCCAGTACATATTTTACACTTCTTCTGAAAACTAGGCTCCCTGGACTCTTAATAGGATATAATCTAACATTCTATATTAACAAGTATATGATACAGAAAGACCAACATGACATAGAGGATATCTAATGGTTTCCCATCGAATACCAGATATTTTTCATGAGTATGTCAGAACATGGATATTTTTTACTAGCATGTAATATTTAGTGATTATTATATGACCATTTTGATATCACACCCAATATCAGCCAGAGAGTCTGGATATCAGCCTAATTATCTTATTTATATTCATAAAAATGGACACAAAAACAATGATGTATATAAACAAAACAGTAACAATTATACGTAAAAAGTACACATTTAGAAATTCATAAATTCCTACAATTAAGGATTGACCATCATTTTGACTGCGTATACAGTAGTATGAACGCAGTTGGCAACGAACATATTCTATGGAGCGTGTAAGCGCTCCATAAAGAATATGTTGGTTGCCAACTGCGTTCATACTACCATATATGCAGTCAAACTGAAGATCAATTCTTATATTTACATATTTTCCTACTATGATGGTACACTCAGAATAAAGCTAACTCCAATACATTTTTTCTTTTATAATGGTACAAAGCCTCCGTAACGTGCGTAAATCCAAACAGATGAACAGCCTTGAGCCTGCGAGCAGCGATGGATCTCCAACGTTACCATTATGACGTCACAATGTAAATTACGTCATCAATAGGAAACAATGGTCTCCAAGGAATCTCACTGCGTATACAGTAATGTATACGCAGTCACGGTTTACACAGCTTCAATGGGAGCGAATGTAAATATAATGATATGGTTATTGAAATTTGGGTGGGGCTTTGTAAATCAATCTTTAAAATTATTGTCCATGAAACCTCAGTTATTCCATGCCAACAATTTGTTTGTTTACATTAAAAGTAAAAAGCATTAAGCGGAAGCGGCAAAATCCGGAAAATTTGGGAGGGGGTGTGATATCACTTTCAAGGGGGGGTGATATCACTCCAAGGGGGTGTGATATTACCCGGGCTGATATCAACTTGTGGAAATTTAACACATACAAAAAGTGTGTTATTATTAGTAAACATATGACATATATATATTCATCACATGACTAGAGTGTAATGCAATGAATACACTGATGTTACATTATTTTTTTGACATATAATATCACCCATGATGATATCAGAATTAAGATGTTGGACAGATCTGATCACTCACCTGTCTGTGTACAACGGTTTCAAACTGGGTAGTTTTGATCATAATATATGGCCTTCCCAAGACAGGTTTAATCACTTACCTGTCTGTGTACTCCTGTTTACAATAGGGTGGTTTTGATAACTCACATAATGTACCTTCCCAGAGCATATCTAAATCTGACCACTCACCTGTCTGTGAACAACGGTATCCTGTATAAGACAGGTCTGACAACTCACCTGTCTGTGTACACCTGTATCCTGTATAAGACAGGTCTGCCCACTCACCTGTCTGTGTACACCTGTATCCTGTATAAGACAGGCCTGACCACTCACCTGTCTGTGTACACCTGTATCCTGTATAAGTCAGGTCTAACCACTCACCTGTCTGTGAACACCTGTATCCTGTACAAGACAGGTCTGACCACTCACCTGTCTGTGTACACCTGTATCCTGTATAAGACAGGTCTAACCACTCACCTGTCTGTGAACACCTGTATCCTGTACAAGACAAGTCTGAACACTCACCTGTCGATGAACACCTGTATCCTGTACAAGACAATTCTAACCACTCACCTGTCTGTGAACACCTGTATCCTGTACAAGACTAGTCTGAATACTCACCTGTCTGTGAACACCTGTATTCTGTATAAGACAGGTCTGATCACTCACCTGTCTGTGTACACCTGTATCCTGTATAAGACATGTCTGACCACTCACCTGTCTGTGTACACCTGTATCCTGTACAAGACATGTCTGACCACTCACATGTCTGTGAACACCTGTATCCTGTATAAGACAGGTCTGACCACTCACTTGTCTGTGAACTTCTGTATCCTGTATAAGACAGGTCTAACCACTCACCTGTCTGTGAACATCTGTATCCTGTATAAGACAGGTCTGATCACTCACCTGTCTGTGAACTTCTGTATCCTGTATAAGACATGTCTGACCATTCACCTGTCTGTGAACACCTCTATCCTGTACAAGACATGTCTGGCAACTCTACTGTCTGTGAACACCTGTATCCCGTACAAGACATGTCTGACCACTCTCCTGTCTGTGAACATCTGTATCCTGTATAAGACATGTCTGATCATTCCCCTGTCTGTGTACACCTGTATCCTGTACAAGACAGGTCTGACCACTCACATGTCTGTGAACATCTGTATCTTGTATAAGACATGTCTGACCACTCACCTGTCTGTGAACACCTGTATCCTGTACAAGACATGTCTGACCACTCCCCTGTCTGTGAACACCTGTATCCAGTACAAGACATGTCTGACCACTCACATGTCTGTGAACACCTGTATCCTGTATAAGACAGGTCTGACCACTCACCTGTCTGTGAACACCTGTGTTTACGTAGTCCACTTTTACTACTCAGCTGTTGCCCACAAGACCCACATCCATACACATCTGTTTTCAGTAGCTCAGTGTCAGTAACTATGGCAGAGTTCTCTCTCTTGGCACAAATGTTTTGATGACTTTCAACATCTGCAAAATCAAGAAATGTAACACAAAATGTCAAAATATCAACATTCTTTTATAAATTAAATCTGATAATTACAGCACAGTACATGCCTACTTTGTTGTTGTACTGTTGATGAATCAACGATGTGCAGTTGAGGGATTGCACATTGTTAAACAACTTGTGTGTGTGTGTACACACCATGGGTGGAAAGCATTTTCTTACATTTTGCAATTGTACAATTGTACCAACATAATTATATATTTTGGAAAAACTCCATGCTTATGCAATCATTATCAGAATAGCATAACTGCAATAAAGATGAAAAATTGCAAGAGGCCTAAAGGGCCTGAAGATGCTAACCTGTTTTAGGCAGCCTTTTCTTCATGAAGTTTCATCACTAAGTTTCAGCAAGCTACGTGCTTATGATTCCAGATCTGTAAAGTTCTTCATAAGTCTATCGAATATTGTAACAAATTTGACCCAGATCTGAATACAGGTCAAAGTACCGGTAATGATCTTTTCACAAATTTTGAAGCAACACATATCAGAAAGCTATTGGCCAAATATTCTATTAGGCTTTTAGTTCTAAATAGAAATTGTTTGGAAGTTTTAACAAGTTTAACCTTTGTGACCTTTTATGGAGAAAAGGTAATTTTTTTCACAAGGTTCCATTCTCAAACTCTGTAGAATTCATTGCCAGCTAACTACTCGCCATAAAGCATGACTCTAGGCCCCATGGTGTTTCAGAGGAAACAGTATAAGTATTTTATAACAAACTTGATTCTTGTGACCTCAAGGTTATCTCGTTCACAAAAGTTGTAGTACTCTCTGCTAGCAAGCTGCAGGCTACATAGCATGACTTTATAGATATTATGCTTCTAACAGAATTGACTCCGGTGACTTTGAATGTTGATTATAAGGCTATAAATTTCTTCACAACTTTTTGTATTATTCCATGCCTTCAACTTTCTGGTTAAACATCATGACTTCATGTGTGGGCTCGATGCCTTTTAGTTCTTCAGAATTTAATCAGATCTGACCTTGCGCCTAGTCCTTGAATATAGATCAAGGCCATTTCTGTTCTCAAAATGTGTAGCACTTGTTGCCAGCAAGCCACTGCCTATATACCATGACACTCTGCTTCTTAGCTGCAAGCTACATATGATTGCATCTTCAAAAGAAGTTGTTTGAGTGTTTCAACCAAATAATACTGATGACTTCGTATGTAGGTCAAGGTAATTTCTTATCCCAAAATCTATAGCACTCTATTCCAGCAAGATTTTGGCTTTATATCTTGACTCTGGAAGATTTTATCTTTTAAGATTCTACTTAATCATAAATTAGAAGTACTGTAAATTAATTAAAAGCATGAAATATTTGAAAGTCCTTTTAAGAGTAAGATATTTACTGGTGCCTGTGGTATTGGAAGTGTGCCCATGGCTGTCCTCTATCCCGTTCTGAGATTCCCGCTTTGTTACTTGGCTGTCCTCTATCCCGTTCTGAGATTCCCGCTTTGTTACTGATTCATCAGAACTGTGACTAGTGTCTGGAAGATCACCATGGGAACTATTGTCACAAGAGTTATAACCTGAGTAAATTCCATCAAATTCTTCGTAGCAAATATTTGTAGAGCTGTCATATCCTGTATTTTCTGAATTTCTGTCCTCTTCATTTAGATCACTATACTCTAACAATGTTCCATTTTCTGTGCAGGGCATTTCACCCGGGTCTCTGGCACCATTACACATTGCCTTGGTCTCACTGCTACAAAGATTCAACGGCTCAGATGATGCATCATAGCTGAGTAAATTGCTGGAGTTGTCCTCCCTTGTTGGAGTGGATTCCTCATCTGAGCTGATGTAGTCGTCTGTATCACTTGACCCCAGGAATAGTTTATCCGATGCATCCTCCTCATCCGTTCTCCCTACTTCTGCTTCAGTCTGTAGCACAGTTACCTCAGACATGTTTTCAGCTACTCCATATCACATGAAACTTTGTCTTGTCCACCATTTGTTCACCATTGTTTATGGAACAGTGAGTTATCCTTCATCTACACAATAGAAAAACAACAAGTTTAGGGTTGATGTCTAAAAAAAACAAAGAAAGAAAAAAGGCTTTGCCAGACTGCTATGTAATACTTTGTAAATTTATCTTTTTAAAACGTTGCTATGTAAGTCTTCAGGACAGTGTTGACAAGTGTCTTGAGGTCAGGATTGACAGGTGTCTTTAAGACAGAGTTGAGGTGTTGTAACAATGTGAAAATATTGATGTTTTAATAAAGGCTGTGATAAAATGTTTTTAAATTTAATTAATTGTTGCGCTGCCTATATCGTGCTGTTTGCGTATACATGTGCTGTGTACGATCACTGTGCCATTTACCTGTATTGTTTTTGTACATGTGAGTATGTTGTCACATGTCACTTGTCTTACCTTGTTACATACATATAAGGTAATTGTTCTAGATATAGGTGTTACCTGGTTTTTGTTAGTGGTCAGTCCAGGTGTCTTTGTCACATGTTTTGGCGCGGTTTTTAGTATTCATTCATAGACAGGACAGAGCTAAAGGGTGGATCTAATTTATATCCAGAAGTTGGAGTCTTGAAGTTTTTCTCCAGATCTGGTATGTACACATATAGATGTGACAAAGTCTTCTTCTGTAATTGGTTTATGTTAAATTATTATATTAATGAGATTTTGGATAAAGTAGCATTAATTATATTTTGAAATTGTACTTTTTATAAAATTAACAGAATTTTGATCTTACGTACATGTATATTCAATCGATACATAGATAGCTCTTTTTAAAGTAATGTATATATGTGTTTTTATCAACATGATGTAAATTGTGATTTACATGTCTCTTTTACAGAGATGATAGTTTTCGATTGAGAAGGGATACAGATCTACATTCGCGTAAACCCCCGACCCATAGTTGGGGTAGGTATTTTAATATTGTATGTGATAATGTAATCAAGTACTAATTGATAAGGATAATTGTATTCAATATAATGTTGTATGAGTAATTTGTGTGAGTAATTTCAACTATTGATTATGATGAAGTCAGTCATTGTAAAGTTAAAGTATTATTCCTATTTTTGGAATACAATGTAACCTATTGTGTGTGAACGGATCAATGCTTTTTTTTTAAAAAGAGTTGAGCATGAGTAAAAGTAAAACTGTAACGATTTATAAGTGTTTGTGTTATTTTCTGATATCATAATTACATCACATTCATTTTATGATTCAATATATATTTAAAACTGCATATTTGTCTCCAAAAGAAACTACCCTTGACCTTTAGGTTAAAAAATATTTTTTCTGTACATATCTTAAAAAAACCACTTTGATCAATGGTGACTCTGTGACCTCACAAAAAAAAATTCTGCTGTTCTTTGCACAGGTTCTAGCCTCGTCTATCAATACACCTTGGATAATATAGGTGTGTTGACAGACGAGGCTAGTACCTGTGGTTCTTGTTTGACATTTCCATGTCACATAATGTACCCAAAATATGTTCATCCAATACTAAAAGAACCTTCAGGAAGTGGTGTCAAGGTCATTTCTTTCCCTAACTAGCATATTGTTGTTTGATCACTAGGAATTGCCATAGGATTAATGGACACAAACATAGTTTACACACACAATGACACAAACATACATGACTATTATTACTTGGATAAACGGCAGTGATGCCGATTCCTAGCTTATAGCGATTACAGTTTCTATAATTAAGCATACTTTTTGCTCTCAAATGAAAACATCTGCCATGAACATGATGAATTTCATCTCATAACTTTATAAAACGTGAGCTTTTCAAATATAATTTATCAGATTGTGTATCGGACATCATTCCATTGTCAACACAAGCTTATTTCCAGCCACTAGTAAACACACTATATCCTTGCGATGTTGACCTATCCACCATACTAATCTCCTCCTTATATCGAGGCTATATTGACTCTGGCCCGGGGGTGTACGGCATATAGGGGGATAGTGACACCCGATGGACAGATGAATGATCGTGAACTGCAGTGGCACGACTTACCGGGCTGATCATCATCTGTGTTCGGTCGTCACGAAATGCCTATCAGCGAAACCTCACAAACATTTACATAAGACCATGCTCAACATGACAAGACCTTGAACGCTACCTTTCCGATTGTGACATGACTGTTTGCAGAAATTATTGTGGTGTCCAGTCGTTTCTGTCAGACTGCCTCGTTAATTTCTTTTTCATAAATGGCGAGTTCCGGTCAAGGGCGATAACTGCTTCGTACCCAGAGAACAGTGGGCTCGAAACACGTAAATGGGCTGATATACATTAATCATGTTTATGTGGGAAAATTCTCATGACACGGATTTTGAAATAAATAATAGGGATCCCGCGGCAAGTAATAGTTTATATTAAGATTAAATTTGATTTATTAATAAAAAAAAAAAAAAAAAAATTCTAAAATGTACATTCCTATAATATCAAAAACTCCACCAATATCCTAATAAAGAAAATGAAAGAAAAAAAGAGTATCGCGGGGCGGAACAATATACGCCCGTCGAATGCCATATAGTGTTATATACTTTCTTACATTGAAATAAGATCTGCATGATTCTAAGAGTGGTTAACTGACATACTATAAAAAATGTAGAAGAAAATCTCCGGACAAAAAACTCAAATACTGAAATGAACAAAGGGCAATAACGTTTGCAAAAATCGTCGAATCAAAATTCTTTTAAGGGAGACACAACTTCATATCATGATTATAATTATATTTATATTACCAAGTTTCAAAGAGATCTGTCGAAAAATGTAGGAGGAGATTGCCGGACAAACAAAGTCGACAGAAGTGTGTTTGAATCAATATTCGATAATTTATTACATTTTACTACAGGAATATATACATGAATACATAAGAAATATCAAATGAATGATTCTGTAAATCATGTAAACACATCGGACGAGGATCCGGATGGCAACAACAGCTTTCAAGGCATGGGGAAGATGAGAGAGACATGCAAGAAAAAATATTATTGTATGTTATATAAACATAAACAGTTTTAGAAACAAATCTTCAGAACTATGTTTCATTTTGTATGAAGGATTGTGTGATATTTTATTTATTGGCGAGTCTAAACTAGATGACACTTTTAGACAGTCGTGTTTCGATGTGCCGGGTTTTCGGTGCTTCAGGAAGAAGAGAAATGCACACGGAGGAGGACTCGTGGCCTACGTCCGTGCTGACCTCCCTTCACGCAGACGCGATGATCTGGAGTTCGAAGATGTGGAATCCATTGTTATTGAGTGCTCCAGAAGAGGAAGTGGGCTTTCATTGGCACGTATAAACCCCCATCTATGCACGATACTGTCTTTATGAACGATGCCACTTTATCTATTGATCGTGTGTCTACAAAATATGACAATTTTATGATTTTAGGTTTATTGAACTTTGATTGTCATGATGAAAGTAAGGGTTAAACTATCTCTGACTTCTGTGATATGTTTGACCTCACTAACAAAATTACAGAAGCTACATGTTTTATGAAGGATTGTATCCCTTCATTAGTTGATGTCATCCTTGCAAATTGCCCAAGTCTTTGTTTTAAGCCTATCAATTTTATTTGTGGTCTAAGTGACTGTCACAATTTTATTGGAATTGTTATAAAAGGCACAGCACCCTGCTTGCCTAGGGTAAAAAGTAAGTTCCGTTGTTTTAAAAACTTTGAACAGAATAATTTTAATTCTGACTTATAAAATGTTCCTTTTCATGTTGCACATGTGTTTGAAGATACCGAGGATATTTACTGGGCTCATGATAATTTAATAAGATAAGTTGTTGATGTACATTTACCTGTTAAAGAGCACAAACCTCGTGTAAATAAACCTCCCTTTTTAAACAGTAATCTTAGAAGGGATGCTTTTAAGAAAGCTATGTTCAAAATAAGTACAACCGCATCAAAACAGCTGCTAACTGGGAAGCCTACAGAAAGCAAAGAAAGTATGTAGAGAAACTCTGTAGACAGTCTGTTAGGCTCTATTTTGTGGTGGAGGTCCAGCCTCTAAAGATTGTTGGCCTACTGTTAAGCCCTTTTTATATAACAAATGTTTTAATGACCAGAAAATTATTTTAGAAGAAAACGAATGCATTGTATCCAGAGTGAAGCGTGTGATGTTTTTAATGATATTTTTCTCTACAGTTGCTGATGATATTGGTAAAGATCTAGAGGTCGTGTCTAATTTTACAGACCACCCGAGTGTTATTAACATTAACAGTTCTGTCTGTACATAAAATGAAAAACAATGTTTTTAACTTTCAGCACGTAGAAGAGAATGATTTTAAGAAACTGTTTTCACCACTGACTGTGGAAAAAACCCGGGTTTTGATGGTATCTCTGCCAAGATTTTAAAAGCTGGTTCAGGATCTTTTACCATTGTGTAACTGTTTCCCATTTCCCTGATATTCTGAAAAAGGCACAGGTTTTACCAAGTTTTAAGAAAAAAACAATCTATGAAAAAGAAGACCCTCAGGCCTGTTAGTATTTTACCCTTTTTGTCATTTTTTTTTTGAAGACTTGTTCATAACCAACTGAGTGAATATTTTAAGCCAATTTTTAGTCCTTTCTTGGCAGCTTTCGGGAGCGGTTACATGTGCCAGTCTGTCCTGCTGCGAGCTCTTGAGGACTGATGGCAGGTCTTGGACAACCATCAGCATGTTGGAGCCTGTCCAAGGCATTTGACTGCATTCCTCATACTCTGCTACTCGGGAAGCTGCAAGCTTATGGACTGGGTAAGTCATCTATGGACTTCATCAGCAGCTACCTGAGTGGCAGAAAACAGCAGGTCAGACTGGGGTCAGAGACCAGCAAATGGACTGATGTAAAGAAGGGGGTCCCCCAGGGTTCTATTGCAGGACTAATGATTTTTAATATATCTATAAATAATATTTTTACCTTTGTAGACAAATGTATTTTAAATAATTACGCAGATGACAACACGCTCTCTAAGATTTGTGACAGTAATTTATATTTGAAAGATTGTTTAAACAAGAGGCCCATGGGCCTTATCGGTCACCTGATATATTTATACAGAGAGTTGATTTTGTTTTTAACATGAACAGAAATATTATTCAAAGTGACAAAAAACAATAAAACCACCTTATTCAATATCTAGCATACAGATTTAAGACTAAAAAGTATTTGAAACTAGCACCTCTGATTCTAAACAAGGAAAATGAAGAAATTTTAGCACACCGACTCCTTTGGGCCCCACCCTACAGCCCTTGGGGGTAGGGCTGGCACAAAATTTTCAAAGAATCAAACTGTCAACTCAAGGTTATAATTCCAATCAAGTTATTAACATGTAATATTCAAAGTATTATTTGCCATTATAAACCATAATAAATGGGGGAAACGTGAGACCCCAAGGTCATGAAATTCACAATTTTTGGTAAAGCACTTTAAGACCCTTCCATCTATGAAGAGGATTTGATTTTACCATATCTGGGGCTTGAGAAGAAGATTTTGAAATTTCAATCAATTCAACCCTTTTTTGCCCCACCCATCAGCCCCGGGGGGTCAGTCAGGGCTCATATGTGCATACTATCAAACTGCTACCTAATACTGATAATGCTAACCCAAATTGAATTACTTCCAATCGAAATTAAACAAATGCTGGTCCAAAATGTGATTTCCCTATATAAACTATAGTAAAGTTTACCCCCTCCCCAGGGGGAAACGTGAGACCCCAGGGTCAAGAAATCCACAATTTGGTAAAGCACCTTAAGACCCTTCCATCTATGAAGAGTATTTGATTCTACCATATCTGTGTCTTGAGAAGGAGATTTTTGAAAATTTAGTCAATTTGACCCTTTTTGGCCCCGCTTCTCAGGCCCCTTTGGACTTGGGACTAAACCGGCCATTATTTTTGTTGACCTTTATCCATGAAAGGTTCCTGCAAAATTTCATTGAAATTGGTTAAGGGGCTTTGGAGAAGAAGTCGAAAATGTAAATTGTTTACGGACGCACGACGGACGACGCCGGACAAAAGGCGATCGCAATAAGAATTTTGCTCTCATTTTTAGGTCACCTGAGACAAAGTCTCAAGTGACCTAAAAATGAGAGCAAAGTTCTTATAGAATGGTTTAATTTAAATGGTATGAAGGCCAATCCAGAAAAAGACTAGTAACTCTATCAAATCTTGTAATATTGAAAGCGTTGATGTTATGTGTGAAGACAGTGTGAAAATTTTAGGTGTGAATATTGACTTTCTTCTTAATGATGTACATATATCTCGTCTTTGTAGAAATGCTGCTAAACAAGCTGTTTAAAAAACACTGGGTAAAAAGTTACAAAGAAAGGAAAATTTAACATTTTTAAGTCTTTTATTCTATAAATTTTAACTATTGTCCACTTGCCTGGCACTATTGTACATTGAAAAATACTAGTAAATGGAAAACAGTTCAGGAACAAGCAGTTCGTTTCATTGAACATGATTATGTTTCCCCAGTCATTGATATTTTAAGAAGACACAAACTTGATTTTTTACATGTAAAACGTATGAAAGATATGGCCTCTGAGGTTTTTAAAATTTTAAATGATATATCTCCATCAATTTTACAAAATCTTGTTGAGAGAAAAAGCAGGTTTTTACAATCTTAGACAAGATAACCTGGTAAAGATCCCAAAGGTGAACACCTCCACATATATATAGTGGCGACGATAAAATTGATCTTGCAATCCTCCAGTTGTATATAAACTTTATTTATTTAACAACAATTATGAAACAAGTTATTTCAAATTATATTAATCACTCTTGTTGGCCCGGATGTTAGCGCGTGGGGTCTTAGCGTGGGAGGAAACCGGAGTACCTGGAGAAAACCCACGTAGTCGGGCAGGTGACCCCAACCTTTTCACGTCCGATCGGGAAATCGAACCCCTGCCTTTTTGGTGAAAGGCAAGTGCGCTATCCACTGCACCACCCGACCACCCTGTTGTTTGGCATTATAATTGCCTGTAAGACCTTAAATACATTGTATCATCAGAAAAGCATAATCCCTTGTTCTGAACATGTTTTAAATAGTTGAGCAGAGCCAGCCAGGTTGGCAATGACTTTGTTGAGTTCGATAGCAACACTATTTTTTAGCCGGCTGTTGGCATACTGATGTGGGGCATACTGATATACTGATGTGGGACTAATAGAATATTTCACCCCCTTGGGGGTGAGACAGGATAATCTCAACCCGAGGGGTAAGATTCT